GGGTCGGTGGAGAGTCCTGCAAGGTCCAGACCATTTGCAGCTTGCAAATGTTTTAATACGTTTCCACCTAGAGCTTTGGCTAAGATGCCGAGTGGTAGTGGAACGACCTTGAGGGCGGGTGCTGATATGAGGAGAAAGATTGAATAACTTGAGTAAACACTGATATTGAACTCAAAGCTGAATATTTGAGTCGCTTGATGTTTACCTTGACAAATAACACCACGAAGATTTGGAATTCGAGGCCCACGCGATTGAGCATAAGCCAAAACAAGCAATCCACCCAAACTGTCGCGTAAAGTATAAGCGCTGATGACAACGAGGCATTGTTAACCAGATCATGCATTCGATACCTGTGACCCATCAAGAAAACTGGCAGATTGTGTTTAGTTCCAAACACGAGCATGTCCATTTGAGCAAAGACTGTTTCAAAGTCAGTCGCCCCTTTAACTGAATTGTTGACGACCTAAGAGAATCCTTGGTCAATTCATAATTGACAGCAAGACAGCAGAGCGATGAGAACTAACTTGAGTTCGTCCATGTCCCATGAAGTCCAACCCCTTGACTTCGAATCCAGCTTGAGCAAATGCTGAAAAGACGTGCTCGTATCTAGGGCGACATGTCAGATAAAGCCTCCTGCCTCTCCAAGACTTTCAATTCACCATACCGATTAATGTGCTCGCCCATTCCGTGAAAGTGGTAGACGACAGCAATGGGAGTTCCGGTACGCTAATTGATGGGCCAAAATCAGTCAGAATATATCAAGTCTCAAACCTCACGGACAGAGATTCAAAAGAAAACACACAAAATGGTCACGACATTAAAAGCCAACGAAACTCACTTTCCAGGTTTTAACATAAAACTTGGTGCCGTCCTTTGGCAGAGTCAGCAGTTCTCCTCCCTTCAAGTCACTCATCTTCCTTTCCTTCTGGTAATGTATGTGTTTTTTGGAGGGATTTGGTTTGAGCGACTCACAGTTTTCCGCAATCGAGCGTGTTTGAACATTGAATCTTTTGCCATTTATAGATCTCAAATTATTGAAGCGTATAAATCTCACTTTAAACACTCTGCTTCTCGTCATCAACACATTTTGAACATTTTGTCGAACCACACTCGCGAAGCTCAATGAGGAGGTGCATGAATGGAAATCTTTCGGCTTCCAGATTATTTCCTCTACATTCAAGTAGCCGTAGTAAGTTTTGCAGCTTGTTTACTAAAGCATTTGTACGATATCGCCATATCGTTAGCGATGAGCTTTGTCTCGATGTCGATCGGTTTTGGCTGCTTTCCCTCCTGCTTCGATGTGGAGGACGGTCATTAATCTCACCCTCACTGTGGAATGGACGTCATCGCCCACAACACATTCATCTTTTTTCCAGTCCCAAGCCTACCAAATAGGTCTTGATCGTAAAGACTAAGAAAACTGGAGGTTTCGATGAAGAGATTGTTGCTGCAAGATCTGCACTGTCATTGGGAAGGAGAACTTGAAGTGCGACAGGTGAAGAACAGCGTCCGTTTGGACCGCATAAACACGCCCTTACGTGTTTAAAAGCATAAGATAATGATCTAAAGCATTATAAATTACGAGAAACTGCTGGTGATTTTGAAGACAAGGGGTGAACTGTCGCTGCTGAACTGTCGCTGCTGAACATGACCTGATGGATTTGGCAATGGTGGTTGCAATGTACGTGTTTGTGGGCTGAAATGGAGATGCCATTTTATTGCCGGACTGGATTTTCAATGCTGCAATAGAGAAAGACCAGCTTGGCCTTGTATATTGTTTATGTGTGGTTGTTGCACGTTTGATCGCTTGACTGTGACAGAAACAACCGTGATTTCACGCGTATAATAACTCAAATGTAATGTGTTTGTGCGTATTTGAACTCCTCTTTAGTGCCTCAACGCTTGGTTGCAAAAACTTACTTCCAACTAAGCTTGTCTTTGTCAGAAAACACGTCCATTTTGATAGATAACAGCAACATTAGTGAACCTCCTCCAGATTAAGACAATGGCAGACGCTAAAGTAGCAGGTAAGCCTATACGCCAGCTCAAAGATCTTCGACCGCACGCATATTAAACTTGAGCTCAAGATTCTGATGAACTCCGAAACTTGTATGTTGACAACGTTGAAGCAATGTAGCTCACAAGTTTTATCGAATTTTAGCACCACCAAAGCCTTTACCTATGCACTGGAACTTGGTTGCAGGTAATGTCAGCTTTGGCCTTGTGTTGATGTGCTCGTCAAGTTGAACATCAAACATCTGGGAGAAGCTTCGGAAAAAAGTCTCAAATTGACGATCCGCATATTGCCAAACTGTCTGTAAATGTTATGAGGCGGCCTTTGATCTGATTCTGGTTCTTATTCTGGTTTAGGTGCTATCGCTGGTGTTTCTGAGATTATCACGTAAGACACAAAAAAAACATGTTTTAGTTTCATGTCTAACCACGAACTCTCATTTTGAAGCATGTATCCACTTGATGGTGAGCATTTGAAAGTAACCTCTCCGTATGGGCTACATTCGAAGCCCTGACACATGTGTGATCAATTATAGTCGTCAAGACACGATTCCAACTACAAGTTGGACCAGAAGGATACAAATCGATCGCTGATGCATTCAGCACCATGGTGAAGAATGAAGGGTTTGGTGTCTTGTACCGTGGAATCATCCCTCCCATCATGGTTGAAGCCCCGAAAAGAGCAATTAAGGTACAAAACAATGCACATATCGCAGTCTTAGATCTTTTTTGATCACGTTCATACTCATCTTATCGCGAACAACAGTTTGGAGCAAATGAAAAATACGGTCAGCTATACAAGGAACATTTCGGTATGAAGCCAGGACAAGCAATGGCTATTGCAACTGGTATAAGTGCTGGATGTACAGAGGCTATGGTTGTCGTGTCGTTTGATTTGGTCAAGATTAGGTTACAAGATAAGAACAATGTACGTTGTAGCGTTTTTTGTGCTGAGTGTCGCTAGTGGTCGCAACTCCGAGGCTATTGAAAACTTCGCAGTCCACTTTTTTGCCTTAGCGCATTTTCATTTTTCTCACGAAGCTCTCTTTTCCAAACTTTTAGGCTGGCAAATACAAGAATACAACAGATGCTGTCGCCAAGATTTTTGCAGAAGAAGGTACAAAATGCAGTATCTACCAAAAACTGACGCAAAATAGTTCCTAACACTCAAACAGGTTTCCTGGGCTTCTGGAAGGGTCTTGAAGCAACCTTATGGCGTCACGCTTTATGGAATGGAGGATACTTTGGCAGTATCAACTATGTCAGAGGATTACTACCAAAAGCAGAATCTAAACAAGGAACTTTGGTGAACAATTTCGTGGCTGGTAGGTGCTGCGTGGAATCTCAAGGATACTTGAATATATCACGTTAAGCTCATACGTTTTCCTCTACTTTTTCTACAGGTTCCATTGGTGGTACTATTGGTACCATACTCAATACACCATTTGATGTGGTCAAGTCTAGAGTCCAGGTACAAAAGAAGAAAATTAATTTCGCTCGCCATATGCCATTGCAGTTTGCTCATCATCTACATGTGAACAATAGAATCAAGGACCAGGCAAAGCAGTCAAATACAATTGGGGAATACCCGCACTAGGGATCATAGTGCGTGAAGAAGGTTTCAAGGCCTTGTACAAGGGCTTTGTTCCAAAAGGTAAAATAATGCTTCATGTGAACTTGGGTATCTTAGACCACTGACTCTTTCATTTCACATTAGTGCTCAGGCTGGGTCCTGGAGGTGGGATCCTATTGGTCGTGTTTGACTTTGTTTCTGACTTTATTCGAAAGAATCTTTTGTAAAGTTACTTCTTCATCATACACTCACTTGGCTTGTAGTATTTCACACTCTTCCCGTTTAATACACATTCGATCATTATTACTTCAAAGTTGACATGTGAGCGAGCGTGAGAATTAGCGAAAAAGGCTTGGAGCAAAGAGGAAGGGATGCACTACGTTTTTTGATGTCTTATATGGCACTACGTTTTTTAATGTCATACTATTTGCCCTTTTTATATATTTTACAGCGGTACCACATTCGGCATTTTATGACAATGTGTATATGAGAAAACAAAAATCTAACCCATTCCTTCCCTTAAGCACCCTCCTCTCCTTCCTGTCACCTCACTCGCCCTCTCAAAATGATCGACACAGCAACACGTGTAATAAAATGTCATCTGTTTACGCCTTGTCTGGAGTTTCGGCGGATTGTAATTGAGCTGTCAATGATTTTGGCTGAATCCTATAGTTGCATAGCAAAAAAGTCGTGTTAGGTGGGCCATATTGGGTTGATCTCAGTACCATATTTAAATGCAAAAGAGACTCTTTATACGAAGCCAGTAACTTACTTTGTCAACAAATTCTTTCGTTTCTCTTCCACCTTCTTGGTAACGGGTGACATCAAATTGTCTGTTGGGCTGCGAATAACACTATATAAAACCATGAAAAAGTGCAGTCAGAGCAGTAAGCAAAGTATCAGATCAATAGTACCACATTACAACACATCCATTCATATACATCTTCCATTGCAAAACCCCTCCAGATCAACCTCCACTGCCCAAAACACACATTTCCACAAATGTCATCAAATGTTTGATTTCAAGTACACACACATACCCATTCGCTTTGCCCAGTTGGAATTTAGCCAATGGACCTTTCATTGGAGCAGTAGTAAATGGATTGGAAGATGGTATGGTAGTAGTTGGTGGGTTTGTCATGTTTATTCCTTCGGCAGCAGCAGCAATGCTGGAGGATGTGCTTTGATCTTGCTGTTGGTTGGAGGCCATTGCTGTAGGATGATTTGTTGTAAGCGAATGGAAGCGTGGATGTAGTTGCCTTCTTTGTATTCTCTCCTCGTTTGCTTCTAGTTGGTTTGCTTCGTTCGTTTGGTGGTGATGGTTTTTGAGAAGGAGTACAAGTGCTGAATGTAGTGACCAAGGTAGTGACTGGGCAAACTCTAATGCACAGAAAACACGCTGAGACTTCATTTAATACGCGTATTTAACGATGACATCCATATGGATCGATGCAATATATCTTAAAGTATGTTGAAACTTGATAATAAAGTACAAAATCAGTGGTGATTACAGTTAAGTTACGAAGACCTTAGGCAGCATTAAGAAGACGAATCAGGAATATCTCTACTACGCCCTTGTTGCTCCATCTTGCTGGCTAAATAAATCAACGAGGGAGGGTTAAAAAAACTGAACTCACTGGAGGATAATCACTGACAGCTACCTCGAGCAGCTTCAAGCTTCTCACGTTCAGCCAGTTCCAACTGACTTGCCGTCATACGTATACCAAGTGCACCAGCTACGAGTCTCTTTGCTACGAGATCTGGAGGAAGAAAAAGAAGATCAACGTTAGTGGTTTCTATCCTTTGACCTGACCTTCTTTTCTCATTCATCTTCAGAGACACGATACATACTTGTGGCAGCAGGTTTAGATCGTCTATATTCCATAGGCTCGTCCGACCACAGCGAATCTGATTCTCCTGTATATTCCTGCACCTAAAAATCGCAGAGAATGCAAGATTGAGCATGCATTGTCATATCTTTCATTCGACCTTTTTTTGCGGATCGAAACTGTCGTTAAATACCTTGAAGTTCCGATTCATGCAGACAGTAGCATAAGCAGCTTTAGTGGTGTTTGAAGAATCAAAAGCAACCAAGGCTCGATCAGGAAACCTCCATTGAATGTAGACTTGGTCTTTGTATTTCGAAAAGACATTGACAATGTCTTTCGTAGTCCATTCATCTGGAAGGCCGACACATTCTAACACTTGGCCAGCTAATAGTTTGGAGAGGACAGAGGGGTCAGTTTGACGGCTAGAAGAGCAAACGACTTTCCCTCTGTATGTCAAGGGACTTACTCAACAATTCCCTTTCGGCTCCATAAGCACTCCTCGACGGTACATCATCCAGTGACTCATCATCCCATCGAAGATTACCGGCAGCAGCTACTGCAGCAACCTCCTCTCTAGATTTCATCGGTTTTTCTAAATCATCCAAGCCGGATTTGATTACCTTGGGGTTGGATTCTACAGACTCGACAGTCCTGCTCGATTCCTGCATGCTATTACTACTAGTAGTAGACTCTGTTGCTGTTGTAAGACCATTCACGTATGTATCTTGGTCTGAGGATGAGGCAGTTGCTGATGCTATTGGCTTGTCGTCATTAACGTGAATGCTATTAAGATTGTATGCAAGCTTTTCTATTACAGGATCATCGTCCTTTTCCCATGCAAATTTTTTGGGTCTTGAAGTTGAAGGCGTCCAAATCTTTGTTTCTGCTGCTCCTGCTGTTGTTGTTGCAGGCGCTGCCGCAGTGGTTGCTGCTATTACTGTTGCAGGTGCTCTGGTTGATGGTGCTATTGTTGTTGAGGATGCTAATGCTATCGGCCTTTCTGTACTTTGTGTAGATGGCGATATCGACCTTTCTATACTAGTTTGGGTTGGCAATGCTGACGATGCCGATCGCTGTATATTATGTTGGGATGGTGGTGGGTATACTAACCGTTCCGTTATAGGTCTCGATGGCGTTGAAGGTGGTATACTACTAGATGCTGGTGTTTGAGGTTGAGAGGGAGAAGATGGCTTATTAGGGTATACTTTTGTCATCATTTGTTCTCGTCTCTGTCGTCGTGATTCCTCGGGAGTAGCAACAACCGCTCGTTCTACAGTGAATTGACCTCTTCCTTTACGAACGATTCCGTTACTATTCGGCTGAGATACATCTTTGGATGATTGTGATACCTGTATAGTAATAGTGTTCAAAATGTGTGTGGTCAGTTTTGATGTTGCTCAAATAGATGCTTTCACATTACATTTGTATCGTTGATCCAAGCGTCAGCCTGTTCTTGACGCTGATGCTCGGATATATGCCCTTCTTCTTCTTTGCTTGAGTCACTAGCTCCTGCATTCTCTGCTCGTCGATGTTTGGGAACGTATAGTTGTTGTTGTGGCAGCTTTTTTCTAATGGAAACATAGGAGACAAATGAGTAAAATATCGAAGATCACGACAAAGAATGTTTAATTTACCTTTGTGTGGAGTCTGCCATCAAACTCAAGTCCTCAGCTCAATGAATCGACAGCAAAAGCAGGAGTTCACGAATGTATGAAAGACAGGTCAAGGAGGCACTGTTTATGCTTGAACGAGATTTTCATGATTGCATGATTCACATTTTCGTGATTTTAGTTGATAATGCCGATAAAGTGTTACTACCACGGCTCAAAAGTGTCGAATTCACCTCGTAAGATGAAAATTGAACGTTTTAGATCCCAGGGTCGGTTCCAAAGGCCAAACAATCCCATTATTACTGTGTCATAGTAATGTATATGCGCGTCTTTCTATCCAAAACACCTCACATTACTCGCTGAAACTCTCTTCGTCCTTCACACAAATATTCACAATCGATCTATACCGAAACCGCGTATTTAAAGGGACATTTAATTGATTGGATCAGCTATAAAATACTCGAAATATTACAATAGACGTTATATCTGTGCCTGTCGGTGGATAGAACTACGTAAACAATGTCTGCAAAGAAAAATGACAAGGACAAGGCAAAGAAGGACAAGGAAATGAAGAAAGGTTTATAAGATATATACATCCAATGCAATTGTAACTGCTCATTGACACCATTCTCCTTTCATAATTAGAGGCTGAGTTAGCAGAACAGCAACGTTTGGCTGATGAAGGTAAAGGACATCAATGCAAAATCACGTCGTCAATTCGATGAGACATACACATCATACAAACCACTTCAACTGGAAACGAATTTATTTATTATTTTCTGTATATTCAGAGCAACGTCTCGCCGAATCTCGTAGACGCGACAAGGAAGATCGGGAACGAAAGGAACGCGAGGCAGCGGAGGCTGTTTTCAACAAGGAAGGTTCACGTCTAGCCGAGGAAATGGCTGAAATAGAAGCCTTGACTGCTTCTCGTACTGCTGAAGTGCTGTCGGTGTCAGAAAATAGGAGAAAGGATGCAGAGGTTGGTTTGGGATCATTCGTCCGTCTTTACATCTGCTTTTTGGTCGATCTAACTTGCATCACTTGCCTAGTGGGTCCATCTAGTCAAATGCACAAAGATCCCGGACTGTGACAAGGAAAACGAAGTCAACACATACATTAATATACTCGCCGAGACGAGTTTTCCATCTGATGATCCATCACTTGATACACTGGTACCCATTATCAACCAAGCTGACGAGGTATAATAAATACGAGCATAATGTAGTACGAACCTTGTGGTTAAAGGATCTTTTCTGACGTTAGTGCTGTGAAGAACTGGAGGCGACCATGAATTCACGATTAGGTCAGATTCAGAAAGAGAGAGAACGACTTCTGGAACAGTTAATACTGTTACGGAAGACGATATATTTACAGTTTGAGAGTGCTAGTGCTCGTATACTTCAGGTACTTAACACTCTCCGACTTGGCGATCATGGACAACGCCTCTCATTGTCTCTCTTTGTGCTTTCCACCTAGTACATGGACCAAATGGTGGAAGACACATCAGAGAACTTCACATGCTCTAAATCATTTCAAGAGTTCAAACATTGTCTATGGGCTAATCTGACAAAGAACCCAAGGTAAAGATCAAACGACGGTCGAACAGTAGCGGTACCATCTGCTCATTATACCCGTTGAGGTTTTTTTGTTCATATGGCTCACACATCTTACGACAATTCAGGCACAAAACTATCGATTTTGTGGAGCAAGGCATACACATTTCACTTCCCAAAGCACTGGTTTTGGCAGGTGTCGGTATGCGACTCCTATATGAAACTGGGTCGACAGCAGCATGTCGTTTCAAGGATACTGTCAGGACACACTTGACAGTCATCGGGGGTGTGCTGCATATGGATTTAGTTGAATTGCCAGAATGGCCAACTAAATCTGAGAGATGGACTCTTCGAAAAAGTGAGAGATGGACTTCCTATAGTTTTTTTGCTGACAACGGGACAAACATGTTGCTTATACTCTTTCTAGTATTAACACCACAAAACAAATACCTTCGACGTGTGTCATATCCGTTTACTGTTGATCCAGCTGAAACGGTGCCTGAAGGAGAGGATTCTGATGTGGATGTAACGGTTACTCTGAAGCTGTCACCTACAATCGCATCACTCCAGAATGCCACTATCATGAATTGGAATTCAGAGACAAATGCGTGGACTTCTGATGGGATACGAGATGTCCTCTTTGAACCAGGTGTGTTCAAGGCCGCCTGCTGAGTTTTTTTAGCCAGGCAGCTCAGGCATCTAAACATTTTGCTCTCTTTGTTTTTATCAGAATTAGAACAAGTGACCTTCAAGACGTGTTATTTAAGACCGACTGCAATCATACAGGTAACATCTTGTCGGTTTTGTCTGATAAAAAAAAATTGAAACATCGATTTAACTAACAAAAAACCCCCACATGTGTACACAACTCGTAGACGACACCTCCTGAATATCCTTTGACGAGCTGGTCAATAAAACCAACAGATACAGGAGTTCTTGTCGAAGTCGTTGGACGGCAGCATACTCTGCTGTTAGAGATTACTGAACGAGATTGTTCCATTCTTAAACCAGAGACTCATGTCTCTAGTAGTCAGACGACGCCATCGTTGCGTCTCAGGGTACGCCTTTTTTGGTTGAGAGAACGAGAGCGAATGTGAAACTTACATTTCTTTCCCCATTGGATTTAGAGGCTGGCTCATTCTGGACTTAACTTTATTGGACCTCGAGAAGTGAATGGTTTAGAGCTGGACGGGGTTGTGCTGAAGGTAATATGGCGCCCTATCCTTGGTTCAAGATTCAAACGTCTTGGCAGAGAGAGAGAGAGAGAGCATTTAAGACTTTGAAATGACACCATCTTACCGAATTGTTTAGAATCCTGCTGCCGAGGATTCATGTATCTCAGGCATTCCATTCTGGGCTGCTGGAATGCAGTTTAGATCCAGCCCCAGCAACAAGAAGATTGGCAGCTCCAAGGTTACCTTCCAGGTTCGTCAGGCTGACGCTACAGCAGATGAAGAGGTACGTGTGTGCCATTCAATTCATATACTCCCTTTTTGTTGCTTTGACGAATGAACAACCTTTGCATCTCAAATAGGCTGGATGGACTCATGTCTTCTTTGATGCCCAAGTACAAGTTGGAGAGATCTACAAAAAGGTTGGATTTGTGACAAATGAAGTCACCGAAGAGACCAAGGTTACTATTGATGATAGTAATGGACCTCAGGTAAGCTGCTCATTGCATAGCTTGGCGCAATTTGTTTTTTGCTGACGATGTTCCCTTGTTAACTTAGATACATGCTACCGTTTTCCATGCATTGAAGAGTATCCAGAAGACTTCGGATGCTCGAACTGAACCATCTGCTATAGTTTCAGAGAATCTCGAGCAAGTGATGTCGATGGTCCGGTTCATTTGCTTCGCGTAAATCTTGTAGATCACGTTAGATCCTTCATGTAGATAGTTTCTAGAATACGTTTTATCAATATTTGGACTCTATTATATATAATCTATCGGGTTTTCAAACCAGGTCGTTCAGTGTGATTGCATCGGAGGCTCAAGCATCAACAGCATCAGCACAGTATAACATTATAGATTCCTTAGACTCAACAAGAAAAGACTGGTTGCGAGACCAGTCTGCATATACAGAACTGGCCAGACTACAGCTCGCTCATCCTGCATCCACACCTCCTCCTCCTTCCCAAATCAATAATACCCTCCCAACATCACCTACGTCAAATACAGCTAATATTGGGCCGGCACTGGCACTAGCGACTGCAGAGCAGTCTGCTGCTACTATAGACAAGCCCATAGGTGCTATAGAATTAGAAGAAGATAGGCCGGAATCCATCAAAACGTTCGACATCAACCACGAAAAAGTCAACGTCGAGAATCCTGTGAGCGTGAGCCAGCAACATCAAGGCTCCTCCACTACCAGGGCCACTAATATTAATAGTTTAGCAGTCACTCTCCCACCTCTCTCGCCTATAAATTATACGAAATCGTCACCGACATCGCCGAGTAAACGTGTCCAGAGATTCTTCTCAGTGTCGCAGCTGGCTGCCTTGTAAGTGCTCGCTCTGTATCTTGATTTTATGTAGAGCGTGATCTGACGCACTGATTACTAGGAGAGAAATTACGTCAACAAGGAGCTACCCGTCATTAGACAGTCCTATCTGGGAAGCTCTTTTCCAGGACAAGTTTGATGCCATATTCTCGCGTCAGGAACAGGCCATAGAGTTGGAAATGGCTACTATTCCGCTTGGTCAAGCGTTGAGTATGTGTGTTGGGTTTTGAACATATGTTGCAGATTGGAGTCTCTGACTGCCCCAACTTTCTTGGCTCTCGTAGTTAGGAATAATTCATCTACGAAAAACTTTAATACCCTTCTATTATATCTATTATCTCAGTTGAGATTCATGAGGAATGTCGCCTATGACAGTGAATGGCCGGTCGAATGCCAGAACGCCATGTTTCTGTGCAGGATATTCATAAAGACGTTTGTGGATAATCTGTCGTACCCACAGATACATGATATGTTTGAAAGTAGGTTCAAGTAGTTGTGGCGTGGGGCTTAAGGACGAAAAAAGAGTACTAACGACTCGTATTGATATAGACGACCGACTGCCTCCTGACAGTGATGCTTCATCACAGACAAGGAGCTCTCCGTCCTCGTTACATGAAGCGGTGGAAGGATTAGGTGCCAGTAAAATGGATGTTGATCCTGATGTCGTTATAGGTATAGTGCAAATCACTTGTTTGGGTTTTTTTTGCAAACGTTTATTAAAACATGCTCTTTCCATACGCACTAGATCCAAATCCAAGAGCTGAACTTCTGCTTGAAGAAGTACTGAATGTAATTATATACGCTGGATACAGGTACAAAATCATTTGTAAACCTTTTTCCCCCTCATGAATTCTCACACCAAAAAAATATTAGCCCTCTATCTTCCTACGAAATATACCTCGAATCGTTGAATCTGCTAATTGTGATGTGCGCATCGCAATTACAACATCCATCCGATCAGACGGTCGCTGATAACTACTTCTTGGATGTCTTGTTTGAGAGATTTGGGTAGGAGATGTGCTGCAAGAAGAACACTGAGGCCTTTCTCTTAGCTCACGGTCTCATTCTCTCCGTGCTTAGTTATCTCGCCAATGATTTGATAGCTGCTCTGCTATTGAATTTCGTCAAGCAGCCTCAACGGCCATCATTGCTAGGTGGTGAGTGCTTCAAGGACGCAATATAGCACAAAAAAATTCTAATGTATTTCGAAATAGGTGTATTATACTCTGCCTATTCATATCTCTTCAACAACGACAAGCAGAATCCTACTGCCGCATCACCAATCGCAGAGAAGAGCGTTTTAGTATTTCTGATACTAGCAAATCAGTATCCAAAGCATTATGGCAATGCTTTCAGACGTGCTATTGGAGAGTTCGAAGACTTGGAAGGTAAAGCTCGAAACTTAACTGCGTTATTTTTTTCTTCTAAAAACATTTTAGCAAAACCGTCCAAGGATATTGAAGCACCGTCATCTCCAGCTAAAGATATGGCAGCCAAGGTGTCATTCAGAGTGGTCTACGATCAGATCTGCAGGTGAATACCTTATGCTCGTCTTCTTTTGCTGGTATGTTTACTCACAATTTGTCCTGGCTTTAGCACGATACCATCTGAAGAGACGTCATTGCTTTTGTATCTGCTGATGCTGAAGAATGACGCATTCAGAGTCTACATACTGTGCAGGACTGATGTTGATGGATTGGTAAGTTTGTGTGTCTTGACACAAACGCTGGTGACGTCAAAGCTTACATGATGTTCGATTTAATTGTCAGGTATTACCAATCCTGAAACATATACACGATACCCTGGAAGTCAAGACCAGGTATTCGCAACTATATGTGTTGCTTATAGTGATTCTCTTGCTGACGCAAGACGACACCTACAACGAAAACCTCCAACGAATAATGATCACACCACCGCCTTGGTACGCTGATCGAATCATCAAGTCGATCTCACTGGCAGGCTTCACGACATTAATATTGGTGAAGACGATTCAGGTTAATCTGTCTCATCACAGGGTGATCTTTTTTTGCTGCCTGGTTCTCTAAATTCAAAAACCAATCTTCAATTATTCTCTATTTAGGACCACTACTTCCATACAAACTGCCTCGCAGCATTAGCCAACATGAGCAGCAAGACCGCTGGAATGCATTCTGTGGTTGCCTCACGGCTAATAAATCTATTGGACCTGGTCACAAGGAGATATGGCAAGCTTATGGGTGGTCTGCCGCCTGTATACGGTGCTCAGACACCAACGACACCCATGTCTATTATGACGCCAATACTTGGGGTATGCAAAAATCAGTGAATCTGTCCTCATTTACTTGAACTAATAGCATTCATTTTCTCTACTACTTTACATCTCGACAGCCAGCTCCAAATTCCGTCGATTGCAAGGTCTATAGTGATGTTATAGCTCTGATACTGGAGATAATAAACTCAGTAATGACCCATACACTCCAACATAATCCTCAGTTGGTATATGCTTTATTGCATCGACGAGACATGTTCGCTCGTATTGAAACTGAGCCTCGATTTGCTGAACTGGTTGAGAATATAAATACGGTAGGTTTGGTTTGGTGATTATGAAGTTTGGAAGAGAGCAAAAAAATGAAAGAAGCTCACCATTATTGATTGATAGGTTGTATCGCACTTTCAAGCCAAGCTTAGTGAAGCTGGTTTGCGAAGTCCTACTTCCGATGAAGTGCTACAAGTGATTGAGCGTGCTGCCAAGACATGGCAAGGCACTAAGCTCAGAGCATTCGAGGAGCTCAAGTTTCAATACGAAGAAGAGCAAGAGTTTTCACTCTTTTTTCTGCCGTATGTTTGGAGTTTAAGTAAGTGTCAGGTTTTTGGTTGTGATGATGATCTGTCGCACTTTTGCATGGATTGATCTTGAAGTAGAAAGTTCTGAGATAGGTGTCACTAACAGGTCATTCATCTTCATATAGTCTATCGCTCTTCATTGATTCACTGGGATGAATCAAACACTCATGTACTATTGTCGAGTGTCGTTGCACCACTCGATCAGATAGATTTATCAGTGCCATTATGAATAGTACTATACATTATTATGAACATTTATCTCTGAACACTCGTCAAAATTCTGCTGCTTGTATTCAATCATGAACTTTTATGTCAGAATACTCGTCAAGATGTTGCTGCTTATATTCGCTCGCCAAAAAAGATTGTTTGTATGGCCCAATAATGTTAAGATGCTTGAGGTCTACTATTCGTGCTACACGGAAAATCACGTAGCAGATCTTCTCGTGCCTTGTTTGGTGTGATAATAGGTGTTGAGCTTTCGAAGTGAGAGTTAGTCAACTTGTAAACTTCCAAAAACATAAAACCAAGCCACATCTATAAAACAACAACGAAGAATCACTGGGCTACTCTTCAGATGTCAATCCTTCGAGCTACTGATCCTCAGCAACTTGCATCCATCGAGAATGCTGCCAAGTCACTTGTCAATGTAGATACTGGCACGATTAGTTTGGTGTTGCCTAATCATTATGTAGTAGTTGATAATGATGTCGATGGCCGTATCTTGGACTGCTGGGTGGATCAGATCAAGTCGCATGCCCCAGCATGCAACTCAATCCATACGCTAGTTATTAAAGATATTACGTTGAGTGGAAAGCACTTTGACCACGTTATGAAATCCATTGACTCCACGTTCACAGACATTAAAGTAAGTGATGCCACGTTGAAAATGTTGTTTCTTGTGACAAAATTGTGAGGTTGGAAGTGGTTTCTTAAGAAAGTACTAGGAGCGTACGGGTTGATTGATGATCTTTGACGAAAAGCAAGGCACTCCAAAACCATAACTCACAAGCATGACTGTTCACCTATCAACTAGACTATATACATGTCTGATGCTATGGCTGGATCAAATACCATTGAGCTTTCTGCTGTCATCTCATCACTACTCGGAAGCTCCCTTGCCACTAAGATTACTCATCTTACAGTGAACAATGTTCAATGTTCCAGTTGGTGGATTGGCAGGCCAAACATTTGGTTTATGTCCTCATCGCTGTATATACTTGGAAGATCTCCATATGAAGGACACTAGGTCAGTTTGGTCATCACATGCGTTTCGACTTTTATTTGAAAAGAATAAAAACGATGCAATACGAGGAGAATCCATTTTCTAAACAAATTTAAAAAAATTCACTCTAGATATCTTCTATCTCGCCCAGGGTCTCCACGATTTGGTCAAAACTGGTCCTACCCCAAGGCTGAAGTCTTTAAACGTGGAATCGATCGACGTGTCTATATATCAAGACTCTGGCATCCATTTAGGCGGGTTGATGGGGTTGTTGAAGTCTTTGACTGGTCACGTGTCCTTGGAATACTTATATATAGATCATAACGAGATTTCGAGTACTGATGATGATGCTGTGGCAGCAGAAGATGCTGTTGACTCACAACGACTCGCTTTGATGAACCTTGGGCCAACGGTCGAGCTATCTCTAGGCTTGAAGGACTTCATATTGGCTACACCGTCAATGCTGTATGTTAGTTTGGAGAATGTCTTGTATGATTTTGCTTCTATTGACATGGAGCAAACTTCCATGGATGTCGAGTCTGACGAAGATGATGTAGATATGTCCACTCTCACTACTGAAGCTCAACGTGCTGTCACCATGGCTGCCCGCCAGGTCAAAGCTAAAAAGGTCGAAGACTTGGCCAAAACTCGTACCGATATCGAAGAATCTGTGACTATTATAAACCGATGCTGGAACACTATCAACATAGAACTCGGTACTCGTAAAGCAGCACTTGAAACTTCGGGAAATAAACGAACATTTTCTTGCCATATGTACGTGCCGAGATCGACTTGACACATGTGAGTGAGTGATCAAGTTTGATTTGACGAAGATGACCATTACTATCGTTTGTTGATGTTTGAGTAGCACTGGTATTTCGAAGGACAATGTCTCGAATTACAGAAGATGCGTGCTTGAGCAGGAAAGAAAGGGCTGGAATTATTTCACCTGATTCAGCCGTTCCGATATCAATATCTGAGATGTCCGGCTGATACAAGAGTTCTTCCGATAACGATGGTCGTACCACGTTCTGACGTTTGTTTCGTACAGAACTGTCTACATATGCCACTTCCAATGTGAGAGCATCGTCAGCTAGACAGTTTTCGACAAAGCCCTTGGCAGCGAATTCTAAAGGGACCAGTTATGAGATTGGGACGGAGGATTTGGCGATAGTCCACACATACTGTCGAAACACCACGCAGCAATGAAAAGTGGACGTTAGATCCTTTATATTAAAAATCAACAAAATGCTAGGATTTTACCATGGCTGCGAGAGAATGTGAGTGCTGATGTCTTCATTTTGATCGGCATTCCTTGTTGATCATGCACCGAGACAGTTTTCTCTATCGTGTAAGGTTGGTCCAATTCACGATCCTGGTGCAAGACGGACTCGATTGCTTGAAGATTGAAGGGTATTTAGACGCAATAGATGCATCGCTGCGTTTGAAGCCTCCTACCGAGCGACAGATAACTAACACAAAGCGGTTAGACGAATGTAAAATCCGCATTACTTCATATTCTGTACATACCCGAGCTCTCGTCCTTGCTGCCTCCGGTAAAGATTGTCAAGCGGAGAGGCACGTCTTGGAATCCGAAAGAGGGAGACAATAATTGTACTGTTTGACGAGAATCACCGTAACAAATGCTGAAGCTTTCCGTAATGACATTCGAACATCGTATCGTTTCTCAGTCAACTTTGAGTATCCTTCAATTCCCCAAATCCAATGGAATTCCCTACTTTGGCTTGATGTTGATCCAATCATGGTTGCCATCGTTTTGATGTTGATGTCGATTGTTTTTGTTGGTTTTAGGAGAGTGGGAGAGTAGGGCGATAATGAGATGAGAGGGCGCTGGTATTTCGACATTGTTGAATGAGGTGAACCGAGGAAGTCTATTGTTGGCGTTTTTGGTTAGCTTGACATCGCCTGTCTGAATAACATGTAGCAAGTGCGAGGTGATGCTTCTTGTAAAAGACTAACATGAAATTGTTTCTTGAATCTAAATGTCTACTGTTTCTTTCTAGCTGAATCTGCTTCCCCTAGTAATGCACAGTTCACGAAATGTGATTCTAAGGTCAAGGTGAAGATCGCCCAACTGCGACGCCAATGCGACGCGACAGTGACGTAATTAAGAGCTGGTCGAGCTGGTGAAAGATTAGATACGCCGATAGTATTATCTCTTTCTATGAAGGAACTCCCTGCAAAGACTGCCAAAGCTCATGCAAACCACATCTCTATTTTGCCTATAATACAATATTGAGCCTCATTCCAACACTTCATTCCATTGCCATCTGCAATTGCTGCCTTGCCATCTTGACAACATTCCCAGCAACATCAGATTGAATCAACTCTGGTATCGAATAGTTCAAGGAAGCCTCATATGTAAAAGCGAGCATAGAGTCACTAATCGAATGTTTGCACTTGCTGAGAGCAGTAACACAATTCGTTATTCGTGCAATGGTGGATCGCAAATCGTTCGTTATTGGCTAGGCAAAAAATGTCGTGAGAATTTCATGCAAGCTTCTTTTCGCAAGCTATCCCATGGGTTTGTTTACCTCATTCTGATTTGACCACATTTCATCAGCCTGTGCAGAAGAATCAGCTGCAGAGGTTACATGTTTGCAAACCCATATAAACCCATTCACACCCAAAATCACGTCAACACCAGAAGACAGAGTGACGAAATGAGATTTGGAACGTTTGATATTGCTTGATGAAACTCTGACTAGTGACCCATTACGAAGCTAGATAAGAATGATGAGTGTCTGGTGTAGAGCGAGGCATGGCGCAAGAAAGGGATGTATCAATTGTCACCTACCTTTCCGTACTTGACACTCCTTGTTTGCAACGAGACAGCTCCATCATGTGATAATTGTTGTATCTCGGCCTGGTTGCATAAAATGAAATGGAGAAGTCGTTGAGATTAAAAAAAGGGGCAGGCTCTGCGTTGCATAACCTACACAGACTAGATCTCCTTCAGCAAGATACGTCCTCATTTGCAATTCATCATTATCTGATATCCTTCTTTGAACACCTCCCGGTAGTGTAATAGATGATAATAGCAGCATGGCGTCAAGATGAGCACCAATATCAACCTTCCATCGTTTTGATTGTACCTTTGTAGTTGACTCGGATGAGATCAAAAAAGAAAGTAATCTAAGCTGTAGATAATTGAGCTTACATCAGTAATACGTCCAACAACCACATCCCCAACTTGAGGATTGTACCTAAACGTGTGATTTTTTCCTTTGTGTTAAACTTGGTTCTCGAAGAGCAGATGCGGTTCCTTAAACAGGCTCGACTCCACAGCAGATCAATTTGTATACCTGGATTGCAACGGGCGTACGGATATAAGCTTATTAACTCTCTCGACAATCCCAGCAGCAGATGCAACAAGCTTGTCTTGATCCACATAAGTTCCATGACCTCTACATTAAGTGACGAGAGAAGAGGAGACCACGAATCCCGTCAATCTACTTATGGTCAATGCATCGCGAAGTAGCTCGCTCTCACCTCATATAACCAGAATCCTTGGTTATGACTGTCCCAGGAGTCACGATCGTCCCAGGAGTTACGGCATCATCTACTTTCATAGCAGCTGAAGACTCGTCATACGATGGAGGCCCATCATCATCATACTGTGCGCTCTTTGGCACTCGTCTTGGGGGATTGATCATGGTGTCTACTTAGTTTCGAAAAAATGTTTGGACCACGATCAACAGAAACAGGAGCACGAAGACATTTATATAGCTCCAAAGCTCAGCTTGTCTGCGTTCGCATTTTAATACGCTTTGAACCATGATTTTAAGCTAAAGAGGTTTATAAAATATGAAAGACTCAAAAGTTACTTGATAGCTTACAGACAACAAACACTAAAAAGTTCAGGCGGTTTTTTACATCGTTTTGATATTCAATTGCTCTCCATCCTTTTCATCCTGACGTGATCATATTAATTTCCTCCTATCCATGAAACATTCCGTTTCTCATCCCAATAGGATTCTTTAAAATGGTGGTGAAGCGCCCATGCCAGACATCATCATTCCGCCCATACCGCCACTCATTCCACCACCACCCATCATAGCGCCATTCATCGCACCACCATTCATCCCACCACCTCCTATCTGCCAAGATGAGGGAAAGCCGATGGCACCGGTTAACACTTCACCTCCAAGCTCTCCGCCAGCAGCAATACCCAAATCCTCCATCTCTTCGTCGTCGTCATCGAGATGTGCCAGTGCATCCCAAGCATTAGCAAATACAGATGGATGAGATGGAGGCGCCAGTCGATCTCTAACAGACAATCCTACAGCCCGCAAGTTTTGAGCATAAGTGCTAGCTATTGGCCATACACGTCCAGCATCTTCAAGAGCTGGAATCAATATAGCTGTTAATGGTTCTACTTCTTCGTTGCCACCATATCCACCTAATATCGGTCCTGAGTTACCAATTAAGGGGGTACTTCGTACAGGAACACTACTGCCAGTGGCTTGATTCAGCGGTGTCGTAAGCATGCTTCGAAGGGCACTATTGCTACTGGTGCTAGCAGGCATCTTGGAGAATACTGATGAAGGAGCTTGTGGATCTGATGTTGATCCACCACTGCCAGGGACACTTCCATTACTACCAGTGCTGCCGGGGCCACTTCCTACATCACTATTTACATGGGTTACGGTCCCAAACACATTCCAGGGATCTAGTCCATTCACCATTACCCTAGAGTATCGACTTAAAGACAATAAAGCTGCAGCAGGCGGCAAAAGGAAGGTCTGCAAAAATGGTGTTGATACGAGTTCTGGTGGTGGTGCTGCGGATAGAGATGGAAGAGTATTGTTGTACACACGGTGTAATATGTGACAGTGTGCGCGATATGCCATGACCACCATATCGGTGGGAGTCAACATTTCTACAACGGGCTGATATTGGTATAATGGATGAGGAACTATTACTTTAAAGATCTTGTCGGATCCCTCTACGCTACTTTCCGAGTTCATCGAAGGGACTGGTGATGCCGATGATGACGAGCTCGGTAGAGAATTATCGGTACCTATATTATTGGGAATGGCAGATGGAAGTGGAGTAGTCGAGGATGGTGATTCTGAAGCCCCGCGTTGGTGCAATACTCCAATCATGGCAAAGAAGATTATATTTATAGCAACAGCGGCAGGACTTGGCCGTGTCCCTGAGCTCTCCAGATACCATAGTCTTCCTGGCGTTGTGAGTACTTGCAAGTTAGGGAAGAGTTTCAGACTGTTTGGCAAAGCATCATAATATCGGATGAGTGCGTCATGAAGCATCACAATGTCCATGAGCAGTACATTCATAGGTGGCGGAGCCGGTCTATTACTGTCGGGCGGCGAATCAACGTCGTTGCTATTATCCTTTGGCGGTGATGGAGGAGACATTACTCGTGCTAGTCTCAATACCCGTCGTCCCAAGAAGACTAGTTGCACTAGCGCTTGCGTTTCTGTTCCATCGGAGATTACACTACGACCATCTAGAGTTTGCGGTATATTTGACATGATTTTATCAGTCCATGCCATAGCTCCAAAATCAAAGACTGTTTGAGCATCAAATTGACTAAGGGCATGACACCAAGGTGACGTAGGATCGGATGGCATGACTGCTGTTGTTGGTGGCGTCAAGGCCGGCGTCGTAGAGTACAACATCTCATTTAGTGACGGGACAAGACCTGCTGCCATACACCCATGAAGTTCTAAAAACAACGACAACCACCAAGCCCTACAGACAAAGTGTTAGAAAGGGGGATCACGCGGCGTTGTCGCAAAAAAACAATGATCAATCTTGTGGCACGAACTTGCCTCTGTCTTTGACTAGGGAGTATAGGTGCGTCTCCAAGCAAACTAGGTATGCCATGCCGTAAGGGTGATAAACGATCTTCCTCAAATTCGTTGGCCAAGTATGTTCCCATAGCTAGAAAACGGATTTAGTCAGTTGGTGGCAGTTCAAAGCATTTCCGTTTCAAGGACAACGCGATGACGATGACTTACAAGTCCAAGTTGCGGACTGATGGGATGCATCAGATCCCACTTCAAACACACTCAGTAACAATCTCGTTTGACAAATCGACAAATCACTCCATTGTCCGGGTGGCATATTACGTTCTCGCTCACGAGCTATATCTTCGAATACAGCACACCACTTCCGCCCACCTCCATCAGACAAGGCTGGATGTCTGGAGTATGTTGCTCCGATGGCACATATAGCTGCTATTAATGCTGGATTGGTCTTTGGTGATATAGTTGGTAAGATAGTGTTGAGCAGAGCAGGTTCATCGAGTATGGGAAAAACCGGGTGGAAGTATATGAAGAAATTCTTGAATAGCACCAAGTAGAGCGACGGCGGTAATGGGGGAAGACCTAATACAGCAAAGTCGGGCGGTATAAATCCCGATGAGACATTTAATGACTTGGGGATTTTAGGTTGTTTTACGTGGGTTGACATGGGGAATGGGATACTCTTGCTACGAGGCTGCGTCAGTGTCGTGGCATTGTTATTGCTATTGTTTGATATGGCCGACATGGGTACTGGCATCTTATGATTACCATTCGATTGATCTTGCTCGGCACGTTGTTGGTTTTCTAGAGTCAAAGTCCAAGAGAGTATGTCATCGAGTGTCGACATGTCGGATTTCGGAGTAGCTACATTAGATGACATGGACGATACAGACATAGAATTGTTCTCAGTATCGGATGGGTGTCTTTGGGACGACGACTCATTATCAGTGTTTTCATTTTCTAGACGATCTGATGACCCATAGTCCGACGGACTATCATTACTATTCGTCAATCCATTAAAACTATCCTCAAACGATGCAGTATCTTCAGCAAACAACCCAGACTGCATTGAGAGGTAGGGAGCTCTACCAGCTTGTGCCGATTCCTCATAAACCCAGTCAGGTATGGCTGGTATAGGCGGAGGCAGCAGTTCAGCAACGGCCAATCGATACAGCGACGATTCGGGCTGAGTCGATACTATAGCTTCTACTCTGACATCTTTCTTTATAGCAGCTAGTCTTGCCTTTGCTACACCCGTTGCTTTCTTTGGCGTTTCATCACCCTTGCCTTTATTGTTCGCCATGGAGTCCTTACGACGAGCAACGACAGAGCCTGGAGCGGGCCCTCTTCGTTTAGGAATCACTTCATACGTGCAATCACTCTGAGCACGTTCACATGTTGAACAAGGCTTGAGACCGTCGCATTTCCGTTTCTTTATCTTGCATCGATCTAGAATTTCGAAGGAAAAAAGATTAGTTTTCAATGCAATAGAAATACGTAAGACGATTGATATTGGCATCGGGAGGATCGATCCGTGTGAGGCTTCAACGAAGTAGATTCGTGGTTGGTCTTCACACGACGAATGTGAGACCAGGATAAACAATACGGCCAACGCAAAAAGCAGAATACGAGTATTAATGATGGTATACTCGATCGTTTTGCAGGTTCTCTTCCAACAATTAGGTGTTTTCGTTTCTGCCATGCAAGGCTTCATGATGCCACACAAATGCCTTTTACCGGATATTTCAGGCACTTACCACAACTACGAACTTGCTTCGGCTTCTCGTATGCTTGCAATGGGGGCTTCGAGGAATCTGCTTTACTAGAGTCGTCTGTCATTGGCGGCGTGTACTCGTCGTTCGAATCCACGGAATCCAAATCATCGTCAGAAGGCATATTTGTAGGAGCTTCCATTACAGAGACACAGACGCAAAGGCTAACTATGCTCACTGGCAACCGTTGGCGAGTCTTTGTAGTGAAAAAAGAGTCAGTCGATAAAAAGCAGTTGTTGGTCTTCTTTTCTTTTGGTCTCGATTCATCTGAAACCAAATCACCAAATGGCTTTAAAAGCGTTAGGAAAGCATGCACCATATAGTTTCCTAAACTTTCAAACGATTGGGACCCATTCCAACGCGTAGAGAGAACAATGCTCGGAGCAAACAATGGATTTGCACGTTCTACGCTCTAATCGCCAATTCGCAAATCTTGGTCCACAATTTCCATTGCTCATTCGCGTTCCTCACAATTAAAGTTGCTCAACCCACGGCTAATTCAGTTGACATTTTATTGGCATGCCCTGAGACGTAACGGGGAGCTGAAATCAAGTGATGCTGACCTACAATGACGGCAAGTCGAGAAAATAAAGTTGGAACGGTCAACAACGTCACAACCATAAACCTCGATCCAAGCTGTGCGAGTTACCGAATACACTGATTTATTAACACGTCGCTACTAAATATCTTGGCATCTCACCGTTTGATCATGTTTCTAAGAAACGGCTTCGGCCGTTGGATAAATGCAGATGACAAGTGGATGACACTGGTCAACGGTCACGAAACGAACCGAAATTGCATCGAAAGCGTCGTTTACGCCTCCATCGACTTACAGTCACTGGCGCTTGACTCGACATACGGCGGCATCCATCACCCACTCGTTGGAGAGCTCGGATCTTTGTAGCTGGCGAAAACATCAAGTTACCGAATAGTTCTGGTCTGCTAATAGACAAAACACATTGTTAGAAATCAGCTTTACTAGCATACGTAGGTAGTTCTTGCTTGGTTTTGCATCTTGGCTCCTTTACGCTTTACGATTCGAAAACACAAAAAGCACAACTAAACACACCTTGTGAAGACTACGAATTCGGACGTTCCCCCGTTCGTACAGTCAGTCCGACACGACTGAGCTCCAGCGTTCATACTGACTCGCTGAACTTGACAACAAGAAATTAGAGCGATGGTGATTGTTTCAATTCGCGATCAAAACGTCAAGACGAAATAAACTCCCACTGCGTTGAGCCCGAAAGCGCATCCAAGAAGCGGCCGTTTCTCTGTTTCTATATCTGATTCGCCAATTACGTTAAAAATAGTGAGAACTGACTATCGTTAAATTGTGAGGTCAAAACACGATAAAATGTCGGGTAGAAGCATCCAAGTGCTATTGCGTCGCATACCATCTAGTAACATACGGACAATATCGTCCAGGGTTGCTACGAAATCATTGGGACCTGTTTTCACGTCATATCTCGCAACAAGGCAGTACGCTTCTCACGGCCATTCCCATTCGGAAGGAGCTTCTCATGGTGAAGATGCATCTGGCAACTATGACAGATTATGGCTACTGGGTTCTGTGCTTGTCTTTGGACCTGGGTAAGCCATTACATGACATTATTACAATACTACAGTACAGTTTGCAAAGTTGCGAAGAAGCTCATACCCATTTTTTCCATTGAAGGTTCTGGTATCTGACACAACCAGCTGCCAAGATTGCTCCATCACATGATGACCATGGAGATGCATCGCATGCTGGAGCTTCAACTCCGACAAAAATACACAAGGACGATGATGAAACACAAACTGATGTTACCCCTGTGTCTGATGACCATGCTGAAGTTCCAAGCGAACCGCCAGCTGTACAATATGTCCTAGTGGGAGGCGGTACTGCTGCTTCAAGTGCTGCTGAGGTGAGTTGTCAGTTTGCAGCTCTGTTTCCACAGCAGTGTCAGATTTATTAACCACGCTTTGTTGCCAAACTATTCAGGCCATCAAGGAAAAGGAAACTGCGGCGGATGTATTGATCATTACTGAAGAGGTGCTTATTGAAAATCCCCCTGATGAACCAATTGTTGCTGTACTTGTTTCTGAAGTTGAAGGGAAGGAGGAAGAATCTCAAGTTGAGGTGAAGGAGGAAGACTCCAAAGTTGAAGTGAAGAAAGTAGAAGAAGTGTCGAAACCAGCAGCAAAAGACGATGGAAATGTCTCGGATGAGGAGTACATAGAGGTTATGGCTGCAGATGCCGAGTAGAAAACATTATAATAGAGATGAGGCGTTGCAAAAACGAGAAAAACGAGATTGGGTTGTGGGGGTGGGAGCATTGTTCTACACACCTCTGTTCTTGTTAATGACTTAAATGACCTCTTTTCTAACAATATTATTCTAAACTATGTTCCCCACTCTCTTGTCTGTTCCAAAAGGCCTACGCTCCATATAGTGAGCTATCTTGCCTCTTATTTTCATCTGTTCCTGCATATCATTCTTACTAATGATGTCAATCTCTTCACGCAGTGAGACCGCCACTGTCAAAGGAATTATGGTTTGAAGCCGATAGTAGTTCATTGAAATTCAAGGATTGGAATGGGAAAAGCAGGGATCTGTTTTATCGACCAGAGATATACTACACCCCGGTCGAAAAGTCATTGGCCTCTCTCCACAAACCTCAGGATGATTCAAAAAAAGTGCGACTTTTGACTTCAACACGGGTAACTCGTATAGATCCTGATGAGCACTCCCTTACACTCGACACTGGGAAGACAATCAAGTATTCCAAGATTCTGTAAGTTTTCACCACTTCGGAACGTTGTTTCATCTTGTGGTTTTCCCATATCAACACTCTTCGTTTTAGCATTGCAACAGGTGGCACGCCGAAAGGACTTGATTCCTTTGATTCTCTACCTGCAAGTTCTAAAAAGCATGTCCACAAATACCGATCTGTAAGTGATTGGGGACACGTAGCGGTTAAAGGCTGGATCCTCGCAACGTTTACTTTGTGTAGCTGAGGTTGAACGCTGGATCCTCACAATGTTTACTATAGGTACAAGACTTTAAACAATTAGACCAATTAGTCAAATCACAGAAGTCTGTTGTGGTCATTGGTGGAGGGTTCTTGGGCAGCGAACTATCTGTTGCGCTCGGTATGTGCAGTTGATGATGTGCTTTCCTCGACAAATGATGTTGAAATATAAACGCGAACTTGTTTGGTGTAGCCCAAAGGAAGAATTCTGGAGTCAAGGTCACCCAGATCTTCCCCGAAGAAGGTAACATGGCATTGGTATTTCCAAGGTATCTCACAAAGTGGACTAGTCGTCGACTAGACAAGGGTATGTTTCGATTCTCAACCACAGTTTTGTTTCTCGAGGACATACCAGAACTGACATTTTCGGTTCGTGGTTTCTTAAATAACAGAGGGTGTAACAGTCAAACCATCATCAGTTATTTCATCTGTCAAACCAAGTAAAGATGACAAAATCACAATCAATCTCAAGTCCGGTGAACAAGTCATCGCTGATGAAGTTGTATTGGCTGTTGGTATTCAACCTAATGTCGTAAGTTGCCAAGACGAAGAAAAGAAATGTACTAGATTTGCTGATGTCCTGACAATGATCTTCGCTTTTAGGACGTAGCTATTGCATCTGGACTGGAAATCGATGATACACGAGGTGGTATTTCGGTGAATGCTGAACTTGAAAACAGGACAGATGTTTTTGCTGCTGGTGATGTTACCAGTTATCATGATATGGCGTTGGGAAGGAGACGTGTAGAACATCATGTTAGTCTTCAACCGGGTTAATATGTGGTTTCCCGGTTTACTGACGGTTTTAGTATCGTTCTGATAGGATCATGCGGTTATGTCGGGACGAACTGCTGGTGAAAACATGGTTGGGAAAAAGGTAGCATTTCATACGCTTGGCTCGAACATTCATATTAGCCCTGACTCTCAATCTGCAATTAGAAACCATACACTCATTTATCCATGTTTTGGAGTGACCTGGGACCAGCAATTGGCTATGTATGTGAATCCACGCCAAAAAATGAGCTGCTGCAATAAAAACTTGACTTAACTCATAACCCCATTTCTAGGAAGCAGTTGGTGTCATCGACTCTTCGTTATCAACAGTTGGAGTATGGGCAAAGGGCCATGATCAAATAAGACCACCTTCTCCAGGTGAAACGCCAAAACCTGTATCAAACAAACCATCCAATCCAGAAACAACGTCAAACACAAAGGATGATGAGGAATATGGCAAAGGTGTTGTCTTCTATTTGTCGCCAGAGAAAAGAATTGGTAAGGTTCTACTTGCTCCGAGATATGGATTTCACCTTTTTCGCCTCGCAATTCTGAGGAACTTTTGACTCCTTCTCTAGTTGGTGTTTTGATGTGGAACGTTTTTGGAAAAGTCCCTCTTGCTCGTCAAGTCATCAAGGACAAGAAGACATTTTCAGAAGTCAATGAGATTGCTGGATTGTTTAATGTGCATGATACTGCATAGATTTGAAAAAACACAACAAAGCAAACTATACCAAGAACACAGTTCCAGTTTTGGGTTATTTACTGTTACGTTTTACGGAAATACACACATTTGAACGTAAAATGATTAACTTAATGGTGATATTGAGTAGGTGATGTGAAAACAAAGTCATCCAAGGAAGGATATGCCTTTTTTGGCTATGAGAAACACTGATGCTAACAAAGTGGAAGGTGTTGTTTCGAGCTATTATTTCTATTGCTACTGTCTATTCACCACATCGATAATAACACCACATCGATAATAAGCCCGAAGTGAATCAAAGTCTATGAATGTGGGTACTAAGTGATAACAATTTTCGAAGATGAGCCACGTTTCGGGGTACGGTCAACGACAAGAATGTGGTCGATTTCTTTTGTTGATGTAACAAGAGAGTCTCTTATTTTGGTTTGATACTCAGGGTCACTACTTGGTGATGTTAAGCCTCTCCATTTCGTACTGGGAGGTATCGTATAACCCACTGGACCCCACTGGACTACAGTTCGAAGTGCATTTGCATATCGTTACGGATGGTGTTTAGGCACGAATTGAAAGGGTAACGCGAGAAGACCAACAGAGTCTAAGCATTCTGTACTTGCCTGACGACAGCCTTTATTTGTAGCACTCACACGAGATGACCCGTTACGTTACTCACTTTGCATTCGGGTATTGTACCGAAGCCTTTCTTAATATGCAGAGATTTGAAGCTGCATGACGTACGTGAGTAATCCAAAGTCTCCTACTATATTGGTTTTTGCTAACCCGCATTCCTTTAACGTTTCAAGTTCGATGTGTTGACGTTGTCAATCGGCTCATTATATTTTTGGCTTCTTGCAACTGTGTTGAAATACAGGCCCAAGGACTGTCGTTGCCGTCCTAAGTCACTGGGACCGCTTTATTTGAGCTCCCTCGTCTTAGCGTTGAAGATTGTCGAAATCTGAATACTGAAGAGCGTGATACTCTTCTACTGGGTTGTAGTTAAGTCCTGTTCTGATGGCGTTGCATAGATTACCAAATCTTCGCAGATAGCTAAAAAAGCCCAAGCAACAGAAGAGCGTTCATGTAATAAAATAGTTGCTTTATTGACGCCTATTTACTACAAGTCCTCTCGATAAATCAAACTTTGCAAAAGCATCAGGGTCGTATGATGTCGCCGAGACTTGACGCCCTCCAAAGAACCTTCCACTGAGATCCTGCAAGGCTGAAAAAAATGTGTGTTGGAGCATTGGACGAGGCGACGACACACGCATAGTACCTCTCTGAGCACCATCAGTCGACTTGAATTCCACAAAGATACGAACAGCTTGATCAGCGGCAACCACACCATTCGGCACCTGGACATTCAAGGCAGCCGTCAAAGATGGGTTTCAGATGACAAAAGACATCCCATAATCGTACAAACCTCGTAAATCAAACACCTCTCAACTTCCCCATACTTTCTACATTCTTCTGCAGTCTCATCTTGCAAAGCGTCGTCCACTTCGCCAGGTCCAACCATGTTTTTCAGTAATACGACTTTGGATGTGACAGGGTTTATGATGGGAGCCGGGCCCAAGTTGGAAGCGATCCGTTCGGCCTCTTTCTGCATTCGCATTCGACGAAGGTATGCTTCATCGCCCGATATATCTAGGTCTATTTTAGCAGGAGGGGCTGGAGCCTGACTCATTTGCATTCTGCGTAAGTATGCCTCGTCACCAGACTCTGCAGTGTCGACGACGACCTTGGATGCGTTGCTTTCAGGTATAGGACCTAATAGACATCGAGTTGGGATGTCAATAGGTTTATCTTGGAGAATTGTTTTGCTTTGCGACTTACTACGTCGGTGATTGTTTGATGATGCTGCTGAAGAGGCACGATGAGACTTCTTTAGATGTTCATCCATGCGATCGCCGTCTTCATCGTCAGAGTTTCTTGAATGATTCCGCCTACCACTATGATGATTTGATGACTCGCCCTCCTCGTCATCTTCTGAGCCATGTCTTCGTCTATGCCGTCTACCTGACCTACTATCCTCATTCTGTTCTAATTCAGCAATCTTGGCAAGCTTTATTCTCTTGAGTTCCCCCTTGCAGAATCCATATTCGTTTGGAATTGTTGGATCTACAAAAAAATATCGTGTTCGATTACCACAGCGTTTTTTTTGCGCGTCAAATCAGAACAGTGACGGTACCATAATCATCCGTGAATGAAGGAGGAGCCAAAACAGCCTTCTTTCCCTTTCCAGACGCGTACTTTCTCTAAACATTTGGAAGTTGACGATATAGGGAAGGAGGTTTATAAAACAAGGAAGTGGTTAACACCTTCTGTTTGTGACAAAACCAAAGGACATATGTTGCAGCGAGAGATTCTCGTGCAAACTGCATTAAAACCTTTGAAGAAGTATTCTGCTGGGGCAGATTCCAATTCTTGGAAATAGTTCCTTGGAAGGTGGGGGTTGCAGCTTCAATAGGTGGTTCATTCTCGGGCGCGACAGTAGATATGGTGGCATCAGAGGTAGCAGTAGTAGGTTTAGGTCTGACTGGCTGAGTAGACTTCCTTGATGGAGGTGGTTTGAACATCATTGCAGCACTACTCCATGACAAGACTATGGGGAGTGATATGGTAAGTGGGAGTGGACATCCCATGTGAGGACATTACATATGCAATATGAAGTGTACCTGGCTTCTTTTCAGACGCATCAGATGATGATTTTGATGATTGGTCATTCGACTTGTTTGAGCCGTCATCCTTCTTGTACGAGACTGGAAGGCCAATCTTGGAGACTCGACCAGTACCAGCATTGTCTCCTTCCACATCGGGTAAGTCATCAAATAGGCCCATTAGAATCGTTGGAATCTTTGCAATCTATAATGGTATGAATGTTTGTTGGAAGATTGTTTTTTGGAAGCTTGTTAAATGCTTGTTATATGCATTCGAATAAGACTTACAAGAATATCAGCTTATAAGATATTAAGAATCTTTCGACTTGAAGTTACCTTGAATTGTAAAGCTCCCTCCTCGTCCTTCGCAGCAAATTGTGAATGTGTTGTCTTCTTTGGACGAGAAATGACACCATGTCGAAGTTAGTTTCAGAGAAGACAGACGTGACGAATATATGAAATCCGTAATTCAGCTTATCATGTCGCGTCTGTCCATGTCGTTTAACTCCTCGTCCTAACAAACAGTCCAGCATTATGAAGGATTACCGCAGTCAGCACTTCTGAACGCGTGCAAGAAGCTCAGTAGACTCGATTGCTGATTACGAATAATTCTACACGTTCTAGGTACTCGTTGCTTCCTTGAATCATGATAAGCTGGCTCGAGCTCTTCACATTTCGCAAAAACAAACCAAGAACGTAGGAGAGACAAGATGCTTCTGAGTGAAAGAGAGGCCCAATCTCTCAAGCTCTTTCTGACGACTGACCTCGAGCATAGGTACGTGACCTTCATTCATTGCAATGTACTCTCAAGTGGCAAACAATATACTCACTCATTTTTCTGAATTGGACGAAACATCAGGTCCGAAGCAGACCCAAATGTACTGGCTGACTATGTATTGGTCCTGCTCAAACATGACCAGCCGATACAGGATTTACGCACTACCTGTCTCGACCAGCTCGAGGACTTTTTGAAAGAACGTACGTTGCTCCTTGTGTGAACATTCTGTCGCTCCCTTCACAGCCTCTATACAATCACCATCTTCCATTTACTCATGGATTTCTTATACATTAGAAACAACACCCTTCGTAACTCGTCTATTCAATGCCCTACAGTCAAAGGAATACATGAAGGAACCTCAGTCAAAAGGTGGTCAGCACTCAAACGACTATCCTCCCGTCATCGAAGAAGAGGACGACGCTGAAAAGAACTTCAAACACGCAAGGCATCGTCAAGCTACCTTGGATGGAGCCACTCCACAGGACGGCAAAAAACGAATGAGAGACAGCGCTAACGACCTGCCTCATTCGGATTACGATCAACCTCCATCAAAACGACAAGATATCGATGATCATCGTAATAATAACAACATCAATAACAATAATAATAGTAGAGGTGACCCATACGATTCCCGTCGATCAAGACCTGGTCCTGAAGTCGTCGAAAGACTAGGCCCAATGAATGGACGTGGCAGGTTTAATAATCCTAATAGTAACATGTACCGTCAACAAGGTAGACCGCCAAATATGGGTGGCTGGAATCAGCAGCAGCAGGGTCCTCCGCAGATGAATGGTGGTGACAGATACATGAATTCACCTATGAGAGGTGGCATGAGTCGAATGGGAGGATTTGATCGTGGTGGTCCTAGAGGCTCGCCAATGCAAGGTGGCTATCCACCGCAGCAGCAACAAATGCAACAACAACAGCCAATACGTCGTTCAAATCAAAGAGCTCAGAAATGTCGGGATTATGAAGGTATCCTTTGTCGCTTTTTAGCACGCACGTTTGTTAGCCAGCTACTAACAGCCTATTTCTGCTAATAATAGAACGAGGCTATTGTCTACGAGGTGATGACTGTCCGTTTGATCATGGAGCTGACCGAATTGTAATGGAAGATCCAATGGCCCTGTTTCCCTCCTCACAACAGCCCATGATGCCTCCTATGCCATACGGTGGTTCACGTCCACAATATACAAATCCATATCCTCCCATCATGCGGCCCATGTCTTACGGCAAGTCTTGAATCAAGCAAAAGAAATCATTCGCTATGACCTGTTTGCTTCTTTTGTCGCTAACTGGCTTTCTTGCTAATCCAGATCAAGGCCAAGATTGGTCTCAACGAAATGGAATGGATCAAGGACCGTATAGAATGGATCCAACACTACCCTTCCAAAGTCAACAACGACCCCCTCCTCCTGTAAATCCCACATATCAAGGTACTCCTGGTGGTAGTGGTGTTCGAGGACGTCTTGGTGGTGGTCGAGAATATGGCACTCCCGATAATACCACTCTAGTAGTAGATAGCATCCCACCTGAAAAACTCAACCTCGATTCCGTCAACGCATACTTTAAAAAATACGGATCGATAATGAATATCAAACTAGTACCAGGTACCACTCGTGCCGTGATACAATTCGCAGCACACCCACAGGCCATGATGGCCTTCCAAGATCCAGAGCCTGTATTCGCCAACCGCTTTGTAAGAGTATTCTGGATGAGACCTGAAGATTACGCTATAGCTGGAATCACTCCTTCATATCCCTCATCAGCCAGCAGATCGACACCTGGATTTAGTGCCAGACCTCAATACGCCAGTGGCGAAAACAATAAACCTTCGACATTATCAGCACCAGCACCACCAGCTACTCCCAAAGCCACCGAAGCAATCAAAACGCAGTCAACTGCTCTTCTTACTAAACTCATGACAGAACAGAAGATTGTTCTAAGTATGATGGAGAAGGCCAAAACCGATAAAGAAAAGGCAGACTTGAAATCCATGTTTGATAACATATCACGCAAACTGGCTGAACTATTAGAAGAAGGCAAAGCTGCTGCTAGTAAAGCTGCCTCTATAGCCGCTGCTGCAAACCCTGTAAATCAAAAGCAACTAGTCGAACAAAAGAAGAAGGAAGCTCTAGATAGAGAACTCGAAGAAATACAACGTAGTGTTGCTACTCCTACATCATCTAGCGTGATAGAAAGTGATCTTACAGCTGCTGGTGGTGGTGTTGACAACAGTAACGGTCTCAATGATAGCAAAAAGACACCAGAGGAAGTCTTGGCTGAACTCAAGACTAGAGCTGTCAGTCTCGGTATCGACCTATCTACACCAGGTGCTATTGGACATGGACGAGGTGGTCGAGGTGGTGCTAGTACTACAACATTCCGTGGTCGAGGTGGTGCACTTGGTCGAGGTGGGGGAAGATTCCAACTGGATTTACGACCACGAACATTACTCGTTGTTGGATTTGATACTCCTACTGACGAAAATGTTAGATCGCATTTTTTGGTGAGAAGTTGTTAGATTAATGTTTCATCTCAAAAGCGACGCGTCTTTTGACTCTTTGTCGTTGTCTTTTTTTTAGCAATTTGGGGCTTTGGAGAGCGTTGAAATACTATCTGATGGAAGTGCTCTCGTCAAGTACTCTAAAAGATACGAAGCTGAAGCTGTAAGTAGTACATGTTTGAATTGTCTGGTGCTCGAGAATCTAACCCTTTTCTTTTGGTTTCCAGGCAATGATGAAGGGAATCAAACCGACAAGCGCTTCTGCTCCTCTGACTATGACATGGCACACGCCTTCTACCGCTACAAACCCTACTACTCCCGCTGCAGCCGCTAGTGCTGCTGATGCTTCTGCTGATAAAGGGGAAGTAGAAGAGGATAATAGTGAAGCAATTCCATATGGTGAAGGTGACGACGATGATGAAGAGTCGCCTGATAGACATTTCCGTAGAGGATAAAAACAGCACAACACCACACTTATAATTGTTGCAGTAAAGGAAGGAATGGCATGGAAGCATCAGTGAAAGAGCATCTTCGTATTAAGCGGATATGCAACTCCTACTCTTTGTATAACGACTTTTTCCGAAGATTAAAAAGAAACATGAGAATCAGATTGAGGTCCATTCATTGTCATTGTCCCTGTAGCTTCGACCAAACAGACACGAACGCGGACAGAGATACTTCTAATAATAGTGTAGGTGCCGTAACAGTAACGTCGTTCCTCGCTTGTTGGCTTTAGTAACTTTCTATGTGCTTCCGGGTTTCTGATTGCCGCGACAGAGAGAAGTTGCTACCTTGGATCAAATACACGTAATTTGCATCAAACGCACACTTCAATGTTTCTCTCCTCGTCATAATCACGCATTTAGCTCCTTCCAACATGAACAAGCCACATCCAAGCCCCACGCATTGATTGGTTGTTTGCAGATCTTCTTGCAGAGAAACCCAAAGCTTGAAGGGAGAGCATCCAGGAGGGCGCAACAAGGTAAGCCAACTATGCCAGCTATATAGTCATTGCATCTAGTGTGCTGGATTCTTTGTTTCTCACTGCTCTAGCTTCCTATCGCTCGATTTACTCATCTTTTTCCCGTCAACAACTTTTTTAGGTATCTGCTCGCCTCTGGTCAAGCCCGGTCTTCAAGAGTCCAAGGACTGCTCTCAAGTGACT